TTAGCAGCTTATGGCTGGTATTGTGTAATTTTAAACTTTTTCATTTACCCCCACCGGCAATGGAATTCAATTTAAAGTTAAGCTCTTCAAGGATTAACCTTGAACCTGCTGCAACGGCTGCACATGCTACCATTCCTAATTCTATTTTCAGTTCATTAAGCGGGATTTTCAGCACGTTATTTACGTTACTGCGCACTTTGAAGGGAAACTCTGGGAAAAGCAGTTGGCACAATTCCCGACTATAAGTGCTTCACGATGTGCTGACATCCTCCAACTTATCTCCCCTTTCCCCTTCTCATTCCTCGTTTTCTGAAAGATTCATCTCATTTAACTTTGGCAAGTGGCATTTGTGTTGCTTCTCCATGTGTTGCAATTAGTTTGTCTGCAATTGCGATGCAGCGCCAAGTTTTAAAGTCTTTATTAAGTTTATTAAGTCCTTGGCTCGGCTCCGCCTGAAACACGTAAGGTGTTCAATTGCAAAACCAAAGTTTCCCCACAGATCGTCTAAAGACTTTCTAATATACTCAGCACGGCAATAGGAGATAAGTTGTTGAGCAATGGGAATATAAGCTTAATTGAAATACCAAGTGCCGAGGGTAAGTTTCATTTACACAATCACATTGGGAGAATAGGAAAATTGAAAGATAATACGAATGGGCCTTTACTTAATGGATCTTAAGAGACTTTGTGAAACCCAATATTCTTTGAATTCGATTTTTCCAGGAATATACACTTAAAGTCTTATCACGTTATTCCCAAGGACATCAGGAATGTCCACAGTTTATGTAATTGTTTCCCATTCATAATATGGTTATTAAATAGACTAAAATCTAATTGGTAGCTTTGTTGTCGACGTATTGAATCTAGCCCAAAAAAGGGACTGTTAATATACATATACTACTCGTACTTTCCCATCCTTTGGGCCAAACCCAAAATGCCAAAGCAAAACACAATATGTAAATTAGTCAGTCGAAAAGCAACAGCATGGCCACGTAATAATTGCCTTTGTGCTCTGGGTTGGCAGCTTAATGAAATTTTAACAAAGGTAAATGTAACTGGTAGCTTATCTTTTTGGTTAATCGAAAACTCCAGACCCCACAGGGCATCGAGCAAACTACACAGAGACACGCAGCGCTGTGGGCGGTTCGTGGTCCAAAGTGGGAGTGGCAGGTAGACAGGGCTCAAACACATTTGTCAAATAACAAGCAGAGAATATATATATATATATATATATATACACACACACCCGCCTAAATGCCGTGGCATACGTTCCGTGTTCAATTGTTTGTGCTGACAGTTAAATGGAGGAGGCTCAGTCAAATGGATGCTACCCCGTGCCTTGTGCCATGTACACAGGAAATAATTTTTTGGAAATTATCATAAGGAGAGGTGTTAGGGCTGTGATAGGTCTAAAAGTAACTTATTCATGAAAATTCACATTTAAAATAAGCCAAATTAATGACATTTCATAAGATTTAGATATAACTTAGAACAAACTTTTCTAAAATGTAACATTTTTTGTAAAGTTTAAAGAAGTACAACTTTGCTATGATAAAGTACTGATATACTGTATACATTTTAAAGAGGTTTTTTTGACTAAATTGATGAATTTTAAATCTATTTTTATTGCGAGTTAATCCGTTTAAATTATAACTAATATCTCCCTCTTTTTCCCAGTTATAATTTTCCCCACAGCCTACTTTCATGCTTTTTCAGCTTTCCCAACTTTCTGCTCACCGCACAACATTAGCATGGAAATTGTTAAATTGAAATTGTCATTCACATTTCTGATGCTTGAGTTGGCTTTTTGCGCTTGGCACTCGGATCGGACAAATCTCGGATCGATGATGGCTGGCACGTCATCGATAGTGATTTACCTCTGTCATTTCACTTAGTCCTGATTTGGCTTAAATCCTAATTATACCCACCAGAAATGACCATAATTAGTGCGTAGTTTGGCTGGCAGGCAACTAAAATCGATACGACTGTCCAAACTGAAATGGATTGTGGAGACCAAAAATAAACACACAAATCCAATGGACTTTGATTGAAGGGGCTGGAAGACAGGATTGTAGATAGATAGAAAGCTTGATAGACGGACAGGTGAACCGCTGGGATTACCGATTATTCCAACAAAATGGACATTTAATTGAGCTTCTTAATAATTCTAATATCGCATCGGTGGTGGTGGCAACCGCTAATTGGATTCCTAATTAAGCATACCGCCGGAAATCGCGCGTTGTCAGGGAAACTGAAAAGCTCACAGGCCTGCAACTTCAACCAATTATCGTTAAATGGGGCGCTAATAGAGAGGGAGCGGTTTTCTACCTCCGAGGGGAATAGCTACTACGTGCCACTGGAGATGCATCAAGCTGTGGCATAACAATGACCCATGAACCGTAATTAAAACTCAATTATGTGGCTACAAAGTTGACAAAGTGGCCACATCAAAGTAGATAAATTTCATTTACCGCCTGAAAGTGCAATCATTGCACTTGGGCGAAACTTTGCCTCGGCCATTCCGTTCACACTTGATGGGTCAAAGGTTGAGATTGCAAGGGCGTCAACTGCAATTTCCCCAAAGTTTCCAATCACAAGTTGTCCCAATAATTGAGCACATCGTAGTAGTTAGAACAGCCAGCAGGGCCAAGGTGTTAGATATATGCGCGTGTGAGGGAATCCTGCGGCAAATGCCGTTCGCATTCACAATGAGGCATCCGCCAGGATGGTGGAACGTGTCCTCCCAGCAACAAGTACGCAATTCCTCTCTAACGCATCGATAAAAAAAGGAAAAAAGCTGATATCTGTCTCAATCCGAAGTCTGAAATACCAGAGAAAATCATATTTGGTCAAGGATAACGTTAGCTTTTCGAGCACGTAGTAAATGAAGTTTGAAAGGACTTTAAAAAGAAAAAAAAAATAAAAATACAAATTGGTTTGGGAAATAATATGGTTTTCAAAATCGCTTATTATTATCAAAATCTAGAATCCAATGTTAAAAATTGTAACCAGAAATTAACTTTAATATCAAGTAAGGGCATCAGAAAGCTACCTTTAACCAATGAACTGTTTTAGCCAAGTTATTTATTTTGTTGCTGTTTTGGCTTGTTGTTGGCTGCCTTTGGACGACTTCATTTACTTGACGAATGTGTTCGTGCAGGGCGTAGGTCCAACGCTTCTGGCTTCATTAATATTTATAAGTTGGCCTCTCTAGTAGGAGCTTAGCCAAAGCCGTAATAATTCCCCCAAACCCAAACCCAAACCCAAACCAAAGGCAATCTAAATCAACCCTCTTTGAAACTCCATTTGGCTGGAGACAGCCACTTGGCCCGCTTAACAATTTCAATTTCAATCTAATCTAAATTACATGATATGCGCACAATTTGAACGCTAATGAGCTTGGAATTTGCGGTAAGACGTTGGCGGTGTAACGCTGCGTATGCGCAACATATTGCGTGTGAATTTTAATTAAAAACTTTTCTCACTTTCCAACCAAGATAATCTCTGGTCCCCTCTAAGTTCTTCTTCCTCCTTCCTCTGATTCCTCTAAATATCCCACAGCGAGAATCGGATGTCCTTTCGTGCTGCTATGGTTGCTGTTGCTGCTTCGATTGCATCGATTTTCTGCTTACTTTGAACGCTATTTGAAAGGAGCTTAAGCTTGTTTCTTTTATTTGCGCTACCTTCGGGCGAAACCTGAATCCATGGGCGGGCAAAAAACAGCAGCTGCTTGGCTAAGGAATTCCGGGAGTTATTCAACGGCTGGCGGTTTGGGGTAAACAACTTTTTGTAATCACTGTAAGGCAATCGAGGAATGGGAAGGCTCCCGCTGACCATTTATTGCGCTAAGTAATCTGCTAATCTCATTTTTTACTATGTTTATTGTAATAAAAATATGATTTTATTTATGTAATTCAAGGAAGGGAGTCTTTAAATTATAAAAATAAGAACTTTGTTAAACACAATTTCATTTCTACAGAAGTTACACAGTTAACTTACTATATCCAGAAGCAGCTTCTTTGCAAAACCCCTTGTGTGAGTATTAAAGGAAATAAAAATAAATACAGTTAATAGGAATGCTTATACAAAATGAAGTAAAACTTATTCCTTAGTGAAAAAAATTACTTTTCATAAAATAAATTTAGTTAAAATATTAATATGTAACAACTTTTATTGCCTAATCTATGAAATACTGCTATCCAAATATGTTTAAGAAGAATTGTTAAAGTAAAGGTAAAAAGATTTAAAATAAGACCCTAGGTATTCAAATATTTCATTACAATATCTTGAAATCAGGATTTTACTACTCAATTCAAATAACAATCTCTTAATACACAGAACATTCACGATTCGTTGCATTCCATCTGCTCTCTGACTTGCTAAGTTGGTTTTAATTTACACTTAATTACGTGCATCGCCAGGGCAAAAGTGCAACAGATTGCTTCGTGGGTGTTCCATTAATTGTCCTTTGTTGTGGCACCTCTAGCCCGCCCTTCCCTTCCTCCACTAATAACACATTACCAAGTTCCTGGTTGTGTTACTTAATGTGTGTGTTGAATGTCAGAGGTGGGGAGCTGGTAGAAAATTAACTTATGACCGCGGAATGAGAAAGGTAGAGCTTGGCCATCACTTGGCTGTTCAAACAAATTGCTTCATGTCGAAAAGTTCCATTAATCGATTATGAGGCGGTCGAATAATACATTAGTAATGCAATTAATTAGTTGAGAATCTAGAATTCTCACCGCCATCGGCGCCAGATGATTAACTTCCATGGTGATTGTTTTGCTTTTCGTTTCGTTTCGGCCCGAAATACAACCACTTGCTTGATTCCATTGTTGGCTGCTCTTTTTGATTTGGCCAAGAGTATTTTTAGCCAGCTCTTTGGAATCGCAAATGCTCTTTCTCTTTTTGCCACGCAGCCGCAGCAAGTTATTCCGAAAATAAAGCAGCCGACCTGTGGACATTGCGTATACGCAGAGTTGTCGGCGCTGTTCGTTTGGAAACACTGTTTAGTCGCTAGCTGGACGTGATGTTGGCCGGAAGGGCAGCACGGCAAACCCAAAAAAGAAAACCATCAAAAACTCTTTACTGAATAACTCTAAGCCGTAACAAAAGTGTGGCAACAGTGAGGTGTTCGTGCCGTTGAAACAACAAGTATCCGCAGTACTTTCTCTTTCGGTCGTTTCCAGTAGTGTATGCGTGTTTGAGTGTGTGTGTTTGTGTGTGGCATGTGTGCGTGTTAGCCAACTGAATCGTAGTGCGCGTGTGTGCGTTTGTTTTGGATGCAAATCAAAGCGCAGCTCACCTGAAAAGTATGCTTTAAAATTTCGTACTTTCGTTTGTGTACTTGTAACTCTGGAAAGTTTGTGTTTTTATTTGACTGCCGCTCGGCGCATTTACATAAGTGAACTTTGGCATGCGCGCGGCCTGCTCCACATGGACTGCTCCGCTGCTGTAGCCAGTAACGACAACGACGTTTCCACTGAATAATTAATGCAATCAAGCAATTTGAACCCGTTTCGCCGTGGAGTGTGCCAGCGCCAGTTTTAGAACGGTTTCAACGTGACCATAATGAGAGCTCCCCCAGTCACTAAACTCACTGAACGAGCCAAGGAATCCCCCACAAAAGAGTTTTAAACTGACCAAAAAAAAAAAAAGAAACAAAAACAGAAAAACGAAAGAAAGCTTCAAGGAACAAGGAACAAGGAGGAGGGAAGACTATATTTTTCGAGAGCACTATATATCTACTATATATAATATACTATACTAACAAGAGAGAGAGCCTAACTATATATACTTACTTAGTGCTAACTGACCACGCATATTCCAATCATAAATTATCGTGATAAAAATTCTTAGGCGCTGAAAGCCCATTTCAATTTTCACCCAAAAACGATAGAAGAAGAACATTAGAAAATGAGAGAGAGCGTGCGAGGGAGATGAGAGATTCTGTCTGCAGACCAACAAATTACTAATAATAATTTTCAGATTTAAACGACAACAAAAGCGAGACCAACAAACATCTGCTGGCCACGCAATCAGAAACATATACAAGTATATAGCAAAAAGTAGACAGCTTGGCAAATATATTTCGATTAAAATATAAACCAAATTGAACTGGACAGAGCTTTGACACGAAAACCAAATAGCTTGCCAAGTGTCTCTGCCAACGGATTTCGAAAACCGAACACACATTTTCGCCTGATTATTGCGACAACAATAGAGATAAGATTTGCCATCAGTGGAAAAGCGTTTAAGTGGTTGGCGCAAAAAAAAGCAGCCAACAGGTTGTCGACGGCAGATAAGGCCGACATTTTCTCGAAATTGGTAAGTCAAAATCAGTGAAAATATTAAATCTGGTATTGGATTTTGCTCAACGTTTGATCTAGAAGTTTATTAAATCGTCTACAAAGTTTTGCCAATGATAATATTTAGCTTAGAGCTTTCCCATCAACTAATAACAAAGTTTTAGCTTTGAAAACTCAATTGAAAATGAATTTGCAATTCTATGAGCTGTTAAATTTTGAGTAAACTAAATGATTACTCAAACAAACGACCATTAAATGCAAATGACTTCCTTGAGAAGTTTAAATTGTTAGCTTAAAAGTGAAGATCTAAATACTAAGTAAAGTTAAAACTTATATCCTTTAATTCCTAGTTAATAAACCATACTGTTAGCTGAAATTTATTTATTTAGGGCAGCTATAAACGTGATTAAAACACAGCTTTTCAGTTAAGGAATTAAAGTGACAAGGGGTGACTTTTTTACCCGTTTAACCTCTTTTTTTTGCAAAGGTGCTGAGCATTGTTGGCGAATCCTCTATCCATTATCCCCATAATCCAACTCCTCACGAGATCCCATCCGTCAAATCCCATTCCCAACCAGCAGCAACATGTAAATGCTCCTGTAGTTTCCGCTCGTAACATATGTGGACGAAATGAAAACTTCCCAAGGAGTAAACTGTAAAAATACTGACCATGTCGCAAAGTGCCATAAACAATTTTACAACATTTTTGCTGTCATAAGATTAAATGTGCATAAACTGAAGCGGCAAGGACGATGGAAGAGAGGGAGTCCTTTGTAGAAGGATGAAAAAAAATACATATAGAAACGAAATAAAAAAGGGAAAGTGGGAAAAGAAAGCTGGGCAATAGAGCGGTGAGATGGGTGAAAGCGAAACAAAAGCAATAACTATAAAACAAACACGACAATTCGCTTCAACTTTGGGGCTACAAAAAAATGGTTGAACACACACAGACAGAGGCAAACCGACTTTATGTGAGGAAAGAAAATAACACCAATGGCAGAGCAGAACACAACACAACACAGATACGGATGCACTGGGGGAAAACTCAATGATTTATATTACGCAATAAAAGTATTGATTTAGGAAGGATGTGTTCTAGTACTTATCCTTACATTTGCAGTAAATCGAGTACTGGCCAAGGTAATTCTTTATGTTCTTTCAACATATTTAAAACAATTTCCGTCTTGAAAATAGTTTGGAGCATACTTTTCGACACTTTTATTAATGCTTTCAAAATCAAATCTCTCTTTAAATACATATTTCTCTAAGTTTCCAACCACAACCATTATTTAAATAATATTTTTCCGCCTGTGTACACATACACATGCCCATATGCATTCATTCCGAGCTTCTTTTTTATGGCCGCTGGCAGTGGGTGGTCTGGTATTGTGGGTGGCATACGGTATTGTTAAGGGCCGGGCTATAAAGGTATGCAGCGGGCAACAGACGACAGCATCCAATTACAAAAGTGAATATTTCGAGACTTGTTGGTTTGACTCCCTCTCGCTCGCTCAGCGAACCTACATATCTTTTTGTCCCTTTCCATGTTGACCTTAACATTTATTTCATCTTGGCTGTTTTGTTGCTGCCTTTAAGTGACTTTCAAGTTGTTGTTGGTGTTGTTGTTGGTGGTTCTACTGTCGCTGTCGCTGTCGCTGAGCTGATTCTGATTTCTTCTTCAGCTTGCACGAAAACGAGAGACGAGAGACCCGAGACCACCGAAAACACCCAGGCTGTTCCAAAATGAAAACATTTTCATGGGGAGATGACGGACCTTAGGGGGTCTTGGGGGAATAATGAGGCACGCGACCGTGCCCACTTGAGCACGTTTTACATGAACTGCTGCCGCCCCTGCCCCAGAAGGCGATGATGATGATGGTGATGGCGATGGCATGCTAACATAACCACCAACCACCTTGCTGAATGGCCAAAACAACGAGCTGAGAAAAAAGTGTGTTAAAAACCAGCCACCAAATGTTACGCCTCACTTTGGCATTTATGCATGGCCAGTCATTTTTACATTATTCACGCGAAAATCCCCCCGATGGCTATCGATGCCATCCTGCCTGTTATTTGACTTCGGGGCTTTCCCCAAAAAAAAAGAAAGAAAGAAAAAAAAAAACATCATGTCCGTGTGCCAACAAGTGTCCGCTTCAATGTTTGCCCAGCTGTGTGAAATTTAATTAGATTTACGACGGCTTTGTCCATCAAACACTGCCCGCTCACCCATGGCGTATACGCAATGTCCTCGCACCCACACATACACACCCCCGCAGAGGAAGCAATCACCTGCTGACCAACAAAGAGCACATTGTCCCCGCCTTTTGTGGCATGATTTTTGGGCACTTTGTATGCCACCCGACATGTGTCAGGTGGGCTTAGTTCCACCTTGGCTTTTGGCTCTCCATTTAAAAAAAGCCAAAAAAAAAAGAAAGAAAAAAAGTAGAAAGGAAGCTTTGAAATGGCAGCACGTCCTTTGCTCCGTATGACGTGTGGCAATCACAAGGCAACTCAATAAAGGACGAATCGAATTTTTAGGCTGAGGCTTCAATGGAGCTCCGACTATCAAAAGGCATCATTTTTGAGTGATATGCTTCACGGGGCCTACAGTTTTAGTGTCTACTCATTTCCTTCTCCTTTCGACCCGCTGTTTTAGCCTAGGAAGTTTTGATTAACTGCCAGGCTGGCTAAGGGAAAATTATGGGTTTTGTTCATGTCGGGGAAAACAAACAAAAATATTTTCACAGTAGCCACTCTGCCAATAGAAACCGCCCTGTTGTAACAGGATATGTGTTCCCCGACGATAACCAAACAATAGGAGAGGTGTTTGGGTAGTGGTTCGAATATTTGATAACCTGTAAAGACATATCCCTTAAGAATCACAAGTTTTTCTCTCCTTTTTGCTCTTAGATATTATCAGGAAATAAACAATTACTATTAAGTTTCTCAAATTATCTCTTCTCTTAGTATTTCTCTCTAACATTTTAACTTTTTTTTTTAAAGCAGCCTCAAACATGCATTCCCAAAATATGATTTTTAAGGAATTTCTAGGGAACCAAAATCATTTGTTGGTTCTGCGGGTTGAGTGACGTGAAATGGCTGGCAGAAAAGGACCGTTAAGGAAATTGCAAAGTTAATAAAAGAGTAGTCGTCGAGGCTTTGCGGTTGGCATTTAGCTTTAAACGCGTCATTAACTGCTTAAATAGCAACATGTGCGCCCAGTGAGTTGGTGTGCAATGGGTGTGCTCTGTGTATGAGTGCGTTCATTATCACCTGTCCGTCCGGGGACACACAAAAACACTCACACCCACCCATAGACAGACAAAGCGAATATGATACCCGGGAGGGATGCGAAGTAGCAGCTCCTCCACCATTTTTCGCAGGATGCTGACATCGCACAACGTATTTCTAAGTGCTTCATCTTGTCTGAATAACATTTGGGGCAGGACCTAAGCAGGCACAGAAGCATTTACCTCATTTCCATTTCCCCACATCCCCCCCTCTAGCTACACAGCAACCAGATCCACCTCCAGCCATCCATCCATCCTCCCCAGAAATGAGCTGGCGCATTTATGGCTGCCATTTTCGGGACGAGCAACTGGCATTTAGTGCCCCGCCAGAGTTCCAGCCTTCATACGTATTTAATGAACTTTGTATTCTTGTTTCAAGCTCGCCTAAATAGCTTCTGTTTGGCTCCGGGGTTGGGTTACCTTTGCCCATCTACCGCCCATCTGCCCGAAAAACCCGGGGAGCTTATTTATGATTGCCCCTTGCAGGAGTAAAATGCATATTTACGAGGATGCCTATTTCGGTCGGGTTTCCCTTTGCATTTCAGAGCGTTTTCTGACATTTTATTGATCCGAGTCCCTGAGTTATGAATCTACCTCAGACTCTGTGAACCTGCCAACAATAAACTTATGAACTCATTTTGCATGCTAAATTCATAAATTTCTTTTACGTTAAGGTCCTCCTTTGACAGCCCAAAGTTGAATATGTTTCATGCATACTCCTCCTATACTGGCTTTTAAAAGCTTGTGAAAAACTAAACTGGCAAGCTGGTCAAAAGTGTGGCCAACAAATTAGTTGGCAAAGTGAAGTGCGTTTAGTAGAAGTTAAGTTGTTAGCTAGTTGGATAATTAGTTCCCCAGACAGAGTATAGAATTTTATACAAACTAAGAGTCATGATTTATGTAGAAGTGATATTTATTACTAACATAAAAATACATAATAAATATAGAAAAAGGAAACCAAGCTTAAGACTCCTTTTTCACTCCGAAATCCATTAAGCTGTCGACTCACAATTAGAATAAATCCATATTATGTTTTTCCCAGAATTTTCCTGGGCTTATGTACATGCAATATACTCACCAATTCATTGGAATTTATTATGAAACAATTATCCGAAACAAATACGCTTGGCTTGCACTGGGAGAAAGAGAACTTGGGGTTTATTGACTGATAAAAGTTTGTCCATCAGCTGTCAGCAAATTGAACGAGGATTTTACTTTGAAATTTCGAAAACAATGAACTCTCGCTGATTTCATGATGAACTTGCAAAAGATATTTTTGCTCTCATACATAATTAGAATTTCGACTTTCTTTTATTTTTGTTTTTTAATGTCAGGCTCAACTCAACTGTCAGGCGGCGGGCGTCAAGGCCGTATCGATTTGGCAATACCAAAAACTCGTCAAGTGTTTCACCTTCGAGGTGGTATATCCGTTTCCTAGGAACGGTGCGAAAACATTTTCCGCTACTTTGCAGGTTGACAACTTTCCATGTTTTCAATTGAATTGCCTCCATCCGAGTGCTTTTCTTATCGGCTCGAAATTCAAGTTTTCTCAGCTCTGCGATTTTTCCAAAAAAAAAAATTTAACTTTCCGGGGGAGTGGGGGTACCTATATTTATATATTTTTTTGGGCTGCTACTCTTGTTACGGTCGTTAGCCCTCGAGAGGCGGTAGGGGCGTGGCACTTAAGCTTAGCCTGCTCAACAACGATTTGCAAGAAACATTTCAAAATGTCAAAAGCAGCTAAGAAATGAATGCCGAGCAAGAAATGGCAAAAGTTTATTTTTTTTCTTTGCAACCAGAGCTAAGCTCAAATTTCTTAGCCTAGTTTGTGGGCCGAAAGTCGACTTTTGCAGCCATTACCCGACAGGGCCAACAAAGAAAAAAAGGAGAAGAAGAAAAACCGTCAGTGATTGATTGACTAATGCCTCAATTTGCCTGTCTCCCCGCTGTTTACATTTTGCAATCTATATTCTAATGTTTACGCACAAGCCAAACATTTATTTTTTAATGCGCTAACCATGAAAATGGATTAATTTTATTTGGAATTCTGTTTGATTTATTTGATTTATTGCCGCCGAAGAGAACATAAAGGGAAAGTCTCTGTAAACCGATTCTGAAGGCTGAAATCAATTCAAATCGATTTGATAAACAAAAGAAACTTTTTATGTTTAATGTAGATTCACCTTTTGTTTGTCTTTTTTTTTTTTTGGTGTTTTGCGTAGTTGCCGAAGCGGAAATTGCGTCAATCAATGCATTGCCTTAATAGCTTTGTAAGTCAAACGTTTTTCTTCTCTCCCGTTTTTTAGCTTAATGAGCCGTGACTCTAACCTCTTTTACCCCTAAAAAGTAAGCACACACACACAAACAATAAAATGCAAGTGGAAAATTACTCAAAATGTCAGTTGAGTCATTTAAAGGGTAACAGCACACTCTGGCCCCCTTCCTCGGCAAGCACCAGGCTGCTGTAAGAAAACTAACAAAGTGCTCTAATCGAGCCAAGGGGCAATTGCTGTGTTGCACCAGCTGCACTTTCCTGCCCCCGCAGCCCTGCTCTTAAGTTTACTTCCTAGAAGGTACGATGGTATATGCACTGGGAAAAATAGTTAGTAAAAAGTAGCAGGTTTCTTAGCTAAGGAATTTTATAAGCTACTGAAAGGTTTGTCAGAAAAATATCAACCTAGTTTGAAAGACAATCTCTGTTGTGGTTTATACTTCCCTTTTTTCATAAACTCAATACATAATAATTTCTCCCAGTGCACTGCTTAGAAGGTAAAACCTGGCACAGCGTCAATGTTCAGTGGGCGTGGCTCCGTGTTGACGCATGTTGATTCTGCCTTTTGAATACATAGCCACCATGGTTGTTGGTGGGTAATTTGCAATGCAGAAAAAGTAGCAAAGCGCTGAATCCGAGTGTTGCTCTGCGGAGGGAGGGAAAAGCGAGGAGGTACTACTACAGGCAACATAAATATTCAGCGAGAAACGTCATATTTACATTTAGTCTAGGCTGATAATCCGGCACAGTGGGATGCCCCATTGGGATGGATTCCCCTGGCCACAATCGGTTATCTGCCCCCGGCTGACACTTGGCCGTCATTCATTCAGTCTGCCATACCATTGCTTATCTGTCACAGTAGCTGAAATAAAAAGTCCCCAATCTGCGACTCGTTTGTCTGGGTCTGGGCTATAAAAGCCGCGCCATCTCAATGCTCAAAGCATCAATCAATTCCCGTCATCGAGCAAAGATGCAACTCAATCTTGGAGCGATTTTTCTGGCACTGTTGGGAGTGATGGCTGCGGCACCATCGGTCCTGTCAGAACCTCATCGTCAGCAGGGACCCATTTTCGATACGAGGCCATCGCCCTTCAATCCCCAGCAGCCAAGACCAAGACCAGTTATTTATTAAAGAGTCCAATTGGCTAAAAATCATATTGCCTGATGTCGTTAACACATTGAGAGAACTAATACAATTAAAGCTGAAACTGTACATCAAAGCTCGACACTGTGTAATTTAATTAATTCTACGCTGATGGGACAAAAGGGCGCAGGTGACTGGAGGGCAATCAGCCATCCACTTTCACTGAACAAGAAAGTTATCAGAGGGTTGGGGGGTGGTGTGGTAGCAATTTAAATAGTTTCCCATTGATTGCTTAACATTTAAGGCTTCTTGAATGGCTCATAAATAATAATTGAAACTATGATTGAGCCAAAGCATTGAGATGCAGAGCGTTCAAGTGCAATTTAATTTGCATTTGGCATATGTTCATACTGCATACGGGGCGTATGAGTAATCACAATTTGCCATCGATTGCCATACTCAGTGCATGTAGTATAGAACACTACACAACACTTATGTATATTTAGATGCGAATAAAAATTGAGTACGCGCAAACATTTCAATGAGCTTCACACACAAAAACGACAATTTCTTCTTTTTTCTCAACCTCACCCTCTGCTTTTCTATTTTCTATTTTCAGCTGCGATCCAAGAAAAGCGCTAAGAAAAACACTTGCAAAAATTAGCAGCAGCAGCAGCAGCAACAGCAGCAGCAGGAGCGGGAGAAGCAGCACGAGCAGCGGTAGCAGCTGATGGTCGGCGGTTCGGCGACGTTCGGTGCGAGAGGCCGTTTCATCTATAAATAGTGTTTGAACACTTTCTGCGCGTGACAGCTGTGACAGCAGCCGCCGCTGTTGCCATGACGTCATTGGCTGGATAAGCCACGTCACGGATGCGGTATAAACTGGTCGGGCTAAGGCCAATATAAAAGCATATCGCGTATACGCCACATTGACCCCCGGCAATCAAAAACGCGTTCGAGTGTTTCCCAGATTGAAGCGTTCGACAAATAGGAGGCGCCATGGCAGCAGCATGATATTATCAACAATAGCAACATGCGTAAAGCTAGCAGCAACAGCAGGAGTAGTAGCAACATCAGAAGTAGCAACAGCAACAGCAACAACAGGAGCAACATCTGCAGCAGCAGCAGTAGCAGCAGCAACATCAACAGTCGAGCAGCCATGAGAATCGCGAGAAAGCACAGCAAAAAGAAAGAGCGGCGGAACACAAACAAAAATTGTCAAAATATTTCAATGCTTACAGCTGCTCGAGTCTCAGTCTAAATTCGTCGTCGATCGGTCGTAGTTCCTGTTGTTGTTATTATTATTATTATTATTGTTGTTATTATTATTTGCTCTGTGTGTGCTGTGTAAAAAAACAAGAAAATATAATAAAAAATAAAAGGAAGTGCAACTGAAACGACTCGAAACGAGCTCTCAAACTCAAAAAACCCGTCAACGAAACACGAAAACTTAACCAAAAGTCAAAATCGACATACCACATTCATGTGCCACACATATATGCTATATGTAGGAGTATGTAAGCCCAGTGAATCGGACAAACAACAGTGCGTGTGTTGTGTAAACAAACAAATATTTGTGCTACATTCAAATTTAAAGCGGAATACAGAAATGTCAAACCAACGACTCGATAACAACGCAACATCGCTGCAGACTCTCTGAACGGTGAGTTTGGTTTTCTTGTTAATGATATATAAATATAATATCACATCATTAAAAAGCCTTTTTTGCTTTTTGCCAATTAATTATAATACCATGTATATAGTTATTTTTTTTTATTATAGTGGGTTTTGCTAGGTATTTTGGTTACCAATGGGATTCCTATAGATTTTTTTCTTTAAAATTTTAATATTTTTTGTCAAATTTAGACTGCACACTCTTGCTACGTATCAAATAACCCGCTTTTCCAGCTCACAAAAACTTAAATTTTGTATCCTTCATCTAATTATATTTCGTGTTTAATTCTCATTTATATTTCAGTTCTTCATATTTTTTTGTATTTTATATTAAATTCAATTTCTAGTGTGAATATTGATTACCCATAGGTTTTCCCGCTGCACTTTCTCTTTTTTAATTTCGTGTTTTAAATTAAGTTATCCGACTGTTGGGTTGGTAATTTTTTCACCTGCAATATGGACAGTTGATGTTTAATTATCCTAATGTATATTCCAACCCCGAAACACCCGCTGAGGGCCCCCCCAAAAATGTCGAGTTGTTGGTCTTCTGACAGAGTGTATGTGCATGTCAGACAGAATTTCAATTCGAGTGGGGACCCATAGCCATCAAAGTCCCAAGCCCAAACCAACCCTTGGTGCCTGGTTTTGTGCTGCTCTGCATGCGGGTGGGACCACGTTGCGAATACGCAATTTGCGTTGAAGCAGCTCCATGTTTTGGCAGCCTCTTCGAACGCTTTTCTCATAAATTGAGTTTACTCTTTTCGACAGCTTTGTTTGCCTTGCTTTGGCAATAGCAGCACAAGGCCCCTCCATCTGCTTCACCTAATTTCCTTTTGCATAAGTATCACATGTCTATGCTACCTGTATCATTGTGTCTTTGAATATATTTTTTCCTCCTTTTCCCCTTTGTTTTTTTGATCCCTCCTCTGATGCTCTTGGCCATTTCAATGTGTATGGGAATTATGGCGAATTATGGCTCACACACACAAATCAGCACAAAACTTTATTGTTGGCCATGTTCTCTCAGCTGGAGTACAGGAATGCTGGCTGGAGATTAAGATTGATTGAGCCATTACATGAAGGGCTTTCGTCTTGATTGGCACTGAAATTAAAGGCAGCTAGTTTGTTGGCTTAATGGCGTACGTTCTAGCCAGCTAACTGGCCTTAATTTTCTAATTGTTTGTTAATAATAAGCTTGTAAAGTTAGGAAATCAAATATGCTTTGCATTTGCATTTGCATTTTCTTTAATTCATTTTAAAATAAATTATAAATGCAAAGTTTTCCTTGAGGGTGAAAAGTTTCTCCTTGACCTTTGCTTCACATTTCTTATTTCGGTCTTCGTAGAATGTCTTAAAGAATTTTCGTTATTTGCATTCTCACAGCAAGGCAAATAACTACGCATGCAGACTCATTTGATTATATTTATTTAAATGGTTTTCAATTGAAGGATTAAGATGCTATTTAAGAGGTTCGCATGTATGTTGTTTTAAAGAAGTTTCCATTCTCTTTCAAAGAAGGAAATGGAGTAAATTTAAGAAGCAAACAAGACTTTGTTCCTATTTAAAGGCAGCTCATTCATATAGTCCTACCAAACCGTATAACATTTCGTTAGCAATGTAAATACTTATTTAAAATGCCTTTAAATTTAATTAAGTGTTTATAAAAAGAATATGAATGAATCCCCTTAGCTTGAGGTGGATTTGAAAAGCAGGGTCAAAGGCACCCAGGCAAGTTGCCTTGATCTTAGCATGTTCTCGTATTTTCCTAGCAAAAGATGCAAAGAATTTGGTTAATTTGTATTCTCATAGCAAGCAGCGAATACCTCGGCGTGCAGACCCACTATAATACATTTGTTTATATGCTTTTAAATATAAATATGTGCCCCGACTTCTGGGCTCACTGCCATGTAATTATGTATGTCGTTGGCCGAGAGCAAGTGCATCGCATGGGCGCCTTCACATTGCTCCTCTTGGCTGTATTTCTTTCAGTTTTCTTTTTTTTTTCATTCTGTTTCTGTCCCGCCTTGACAATGCACTTGAGTCAAGTTTGCTTCCTCTAGTTGGCCGGCTTTTCCTGGGCATACTCAGCATCTAAGCATCTCAGTTTTTCTTGCCAATATGCAGCTAGCCAAAACGAGGGGTTTGTCTGCCTGTTTTATTTATAACATTTTGTTTGCTGATGCTGCTCCTGCTGCTGCTGCTGCTTCTGGCTTCCTTGTTGCTCTGATAAGCGAACTGCCATTGCTCTTCAGGCTTCATTGTTTTCTGTAGTTAATTAATTTTAATATAAGTAGTTGCCATTCGCCATTTGGCCTTTTTATGACTCTGAAAAGTGAGTTGTGCGCTGTTGTTTCTGCATTTTCACAAAATTGCTTTTGGGTTGGCTTTTTTGGGGGGAGAAAAGGCTTTTAAAATGCCAGTCGTTGGCAGGAGGAAAAGTGGAAATTCCTCGGTCCCTTGGCTTTTACAAACTTTCACAGCTGGAGCAGGGAAAACTTTCCCTTTGGCCCACCCACTTTCACTTACACTCACTCCCCCTCTTTGATTGATCAATGTTGACAGATTTAACGAGCTGGTAAAGTGCAGCAAAACAATTCAATTATGTGTGTGTGTGTGAGTGTGTGAAAGTCGGGGGAAGATGGAAATGGAAATATTTGCTTACCCCCAACGGATAGTGTCATCCTCCTTGTGAACCTCCTCCCCCCGCATTCCCCTCTAGCCACCTCACTTTTCAACCTTCGAGTGCGCCCCACTGACGTGGCATTAAATATGGGAAATTATTCATGTGCCCGCCCCTATCTGGCAGCTAATAAATAATTCACATTGAATTAAATTGCGTGATTTCTTTTCGGCTCGCCTTGCCACAGACCGTAGCCTCCCCTCCCCCTTCCCACATTTATGAAATGCAATTTCTGTCTTGGCTTTGGCTTTTCCTCATACTTGTTCGTGCAACCCCCCGTGGCTGCTTCTCCTTCCCCTCCACCGCCATCATCATCATCTCGCATTCTTGTTGTAAGTTTTTCTTATTTGGGTTTTCCTCATTTTCACATACGCACACGCAAGGCCGCCGTGCGCGTTATACGAGTTTATATGAATTTAATCTCCCACCGATTTCCCGTGCCGCTGTGCGCGTAATGCGATTTTAATGCCGGCCAAGGATCCGCCCTCTCTCATTTCGTGGGTGAATATTATTGGGTCAGTATCCATTATATATCAATTATGCAAATTGTAAATTTATAATGCAATTTTAAAGTACGGGCTTCAGTGATTCGAGCTGCCTTAGACAGGAGTATGCGCTGGGAATTAAAAGGAAAATTTGATTTTTTGTTCTAAAAGCTTCTTAGGATTTCTTGTGTTTAATAATGTTCATAAACCATTTACTTAATATGTTCAATGAGATTAGAAGGCGTTCTCAAAGCTTGTGTCAGCTAAACTTACTTCAACTTATTTACTGGTTGCTTTGAGAAAAGACTTTCCTTTCACTGTTCACATTCCAATATGTAATTATTACCTTAAACAGAAGTTTAACATCGCTATTAACCTACAATCTTACCTAACTAAAGCTTCTGCTTTTCGTTAAATATCAACCTTAAACATAGCCCTCTACTAGACCCTTTAAATAGTCTTAAACCCCCGCATTGCATTGATACGAGCATAAATTACATAGCAGCCAATATCATTCCAAGAAACCCCAGCCAAATGTCGGCAATTTGCGGGCCCATAAACTTCGCCTGGGAGGACAAGACAAAGGCAAACTATAATCACTCATCCAGTTAATTCTGATCCGATAATTAAAGCGGCGTGTAACCATCGGTTATCATGAATATTTAATGCAAATTTAATTGATATGGGTTCATCGATTGGCCAATAAAATGGCATAATAATAAGCCTTGCATGTGGCGAGTCCGTAATTTGCCCCACCACCCTCTCTTTCAAACTGCCTTCAACACGCACAACAAACTTAGTGGGTAGTTGTGGGTGGTTTTTGGCCAACTTTGAGCTCAGGCTGTCATTGGCAATTCTGGTTAATTTGTGTTAGAACACCCCACCAGTAAACAGTGATCCATTGTTGGATTTGAACTTTTGGGAAAGGAGTTGAGTTACAGAATTCAGTTTCTAGTTTCAGGTTTCAAGGAAATAAATTCCGATGAAAATCGAAATCAGGAATTTAATTATGGTTTAAGTTTGAAGATTGAGTTTGTGGCAAATTGAAGCTCACAGTTTAGGGCATTACTTAAAAGAACGACAAAGATATAGTAAAAACTTACTGAGTTTTCCTTAGAAAAGTTGGCACCTTGACAATTAACCACCTGGTCGCTGAGTTCCTAGGGCCTTGGCCTTGGCCATGTCAGCCTGGCCAGAAATTTGCTCTCTGTCAAAGTTTGTTTAGCAACTTGTAGAGAATGAGAGACCAAAGTTTGGCCTCAATCCTGACCCTGGAGCAGTAACTTCTGCTCTTCCAGGGAAACGAAACAATTTAATGAGCAAAAAAGACTCGCACGAATGAGTGACCAGAAAGAAAGAAATGTTTTTAATGAGGCTGGCTTTGTTTTTTCTTCTCCTGCTCTGTGGTTAAACTTTTGTTTTATGTTCTAAAATTTAACATCCATTAATTACGACTAATTAATCTTACTCCTAATTCATTCTTGTATCGTTTACAGGCTCGTCTTTAAGCAACGGCAAACATGCAGCGATCCAAATGACAGCACGTCCCCGAGAAATAAACTAAACTTGAACTCACTTTGTGATATACCTTGAGTAGCAGAAAGTACGTTAAGCCCTAGTTATAACGAACCTTAGATACACTCTATATTCTTTTTTTGGTAACTTAAAAAAAAACTTTAGTTAGTCACAAAAGAACAAAAAACCCACAAAAGACAGACAGCTGACAGGCACTGCTAACTGAGAACCCCAAAAAAGACAGGACCTTAAAAAAGAAAGACCCACCGAATCCAAGATTGTATAGAGAATCCCCTCCAGAAAGAAACAGATAACCACCAACAAGCCAACAGCTGAGATCCACTTAGCGCTGTGCCACCATGCCACATGGGGAATGTGAGGAATGTACGTAATATATCCCGCCGATGAGCTCATCTTGATGACCTATGGTTTCTTTGCGCCACGTGTGAAACCGCGACCCTCACTCGACTGCCTGCCCGAGCCGCTCGTGCCCATCGAGTATCCAGCCAGAGCCACCACCAGTAACCTATCAACCGGCAACAGCACCACCAAGGTCCCAACCACCGCCGCCGTCCACTTCGAGACCACTCCGCCCATTGCCATACAGCCAGCAACCGCTCCGGCAGCACTAGGCTCGTCTTTCTATCCAGGATCACCGCCAGCCTCACCGCTTTTCACCTATCCGGGATCACCTGTGACCTCGAACTTCTTTAGTTTTGAGGAGCCACCGCCGTTGGTGGTACAGAGTCAATCCCAGAGCTTGCCGCCGACGCCCACACGTCGAACCTCGAGGGCTTCCCTGACCCACTCCAATAACTCCAATCTTTCCCACCAGGGTTCCACCAAGAGGAGCAGCCTACGGAGGAACAATCAGCGTCCGCCTGCTGCGTCCATGTATAATGATTATAATGATGCTAGCCAGATGCAGGGGAGCAGTGCCACTGGACCAGGACGAGCACCATTCCAGCGCAGCAGCGCAGCCTTTGAGCAGGATCCGGGAGCAGTAGGAGGAGCAATAGAGTATGGAGATCTCCGCTCCCGAAGCCCGAGTATCTTTTTGGAGCCACCCACACCAGACCCCACACATGCCCATTTCGGACCAGGATGGGGCAGACCCATGTCGCCTATGGATTTGCCGCCGGAGAGGTCTTCGACCAGTGCTTCCGGAAGTAAATCGCCCACGGGAAAGTCACGCCTGCGGCCTAAGCTCCATCTGCCGCTGGGGCGATTGGGCCGTTCCAGCTCCTCGGACACAAAGGAGAGCAACAGACTGCGCGAGGATGTCCATGTGCATGTGGAGAATCCGGTCTTCAGCAGCGAGAACCTGCGCCAGAACAACTTCGATGCATTCTTCGAGGCCCGCGAGCCGGTCATCAAGCTCCAGCCGCGAACTCCTCACACGGCGCCAGCAGATGGCAGTGGAAGGGGTTACTCACCGCCACTGGAGAACTATGCGGGTGTCTATGACTCACCAAGGACGAGGAGCCCCGCTGGCAAAGGTGGTAGCAGCGGGGGTGGTCTATTTGCGCGATCACCACGCGAGGAACGGGAAAGGATGGCCGGAGCCAGGTCACGCAGTGCCGATCAGTGTGACGGGGCGGTGGGTGGAGCAAGTGGAGCAGCCAGAGGATCCAACTCGACGGGCGGCGGCGGCGGAGGGGGCGGGGCCAGTTCGGCCGGAGCGCCTTCCAAAGGTGACAGGTGCCTTCCAAGCCTTCTCTTGCACCTGCTAATCGAATCGTTTACAGTTGTTTGCCGCGCGTCTCGTAGAGCAACCTTGAGTTGATCGCCATAACATGCAGCATACGGATGTGCTCTGGGTTTAACTTTTATGGGGTATATAGGGGATTCGATTTGATTTGGGATTATCTTCACATTATCATCAAGAGTGATTTTAAAGCAAATCGGAACTCCTTGAAAGATCCTTGAAAGTGCAAACCCTAGCATTTCTGTTAGTTAAAAGCAACGTTTCATCTGCATCTGCAAGTTTGAATCGCAGTTTTGAGTTTCGTTATGAGTTTGATAATGCCTAAAAATCCCGCATTTTATATCTAGTATCCTTGGAACTTGAGGTATTATAAGTAAGGTTTAAAAGCTCTTAAAGTCTTTATATGTCCGGTTTACCTTTAACTCAACTAAGTGCTAGAAATCAGTTTTTTATAAGCCAAGATTACTAAACACTCCGACTACTAGTTGGCACTCAAAATACAGAGAGTTCTGGTTTATTTTTCCCATTTTCCATTCCCTTTAAGTGAGCCTTTCAATTAGCCGTATTACGAACACGTTCAATTACCAGCAACTCTCACACAAAGAGACCAGATTCCTAACAATGGACACTCAGATTTTCCACTTGTAGTTCCCTTTTTTTTCCAATCCAAGGATACACAACCTTTGGCCAAAGCCAGAGTTCGCTTCAACCTCCTTGTTCCGTCCACGCTTGGTTAACTTTCGGTACTAAACACATACAAAGGCGAAAGGCGAACTTAAAGTGCTTGGGATGCTTGACTTTTCGCCCGCCCATTGCCATCTGCATATCCATCGCGCCACCTTATCGTCCACAGCTGCTTCTCGCATGCATAATTGGATTACCTGAGCCGTTGGATGCAACAGCGAGTGCAACAGCAGTAGGAACTACGACTGCATGGCGTGCCTTGAGCGCATTCTCCGAATGCAAGCACGCACATAATTCCTTTAAAAACTAGAAGGAGCAGGAGCTGGAGTACATCCTGCTGCGACTGGGACTTTCCGAAATGAATGTCAGCTTAGCAGCGCGTGAAGTGTAATCAACAACAGCGATAACGACATCCTTGCAGCTGGCACGTGAGCTAGAACCGCCTGAGATCCTTCCAAACCAGCAGTAAACAACACCACCAACCAGCACCACCACCCATCTCGAATTCATTTCAAAGTTCACAGCGCGGCAAATTTGATGACCAGCGGCAAAGTAAATCAAGAGCTACGTGATCGCCGGCAATCTCGGACACGCCTTGTTTATTTCACTTCAAAATTGGACGAGGATAGAAATAAAAGGATGCGACACAGCCAACGGCCATTTCATGCAGTTGGGTCCTTTAATAATTTCCAAAGCACACACTTTCGTGGGCGATGCACTGCAGCTACTACATATTTCATTTAGCCAACCCGTCGGACAGTAATTGAGCCTCGTGTGAGCGTGGGCAAACAAACACGGCCAACTCAAAGCCACCAGACAGACACTTTGGACAGGGCTCCTCTCTGGACACTCGTTAGGATGGGCGGATGGAAGAAGTCCGAGTGAAACAATCACAAGACATGCCAAACAAACGGGCCCTCGAGTCTTTTTAGCTGCGAATGTATGTTCAAACGAAATCTCAACTCTCGCCGCGGCAATGAAATTACGCTTCATTTATTGATTGAATTTTAAATGAAGGTACTCCCAGCTGCCCCGACTTTGACTTTGCCCTCCTTCGATATCAGACCAGCCACAGTCCAGCCAAAAGCCAAAAGGAACCTACAAACAGTTGGGGTTAAGATTATAGGACTGGAAAATATCATTAAATTTTATAGAAAAATGTAATCAGATAAGAGTATTAGATAAAAGTTCTCTTTAAATCATTATCCTAAATTGTTTAAAGTCAAGAATTTATTTTAAAAATCTTAAAGTTATTATATTGAAGCTAAGTCCTAGAACCATATTTTTGACCTCATCTGTTCAGGCCCTCTTGTTGACTTTGGTAATGGGGCTCGGGTTTAGGAGCTGTCTTGGACTGGAACACTCGAATTTCCGCCTTGGCCCGAAAACGAAAATAGAATCGTAAGGCAAAGTGAGAAGGCTAGGAAACGGGAGAATGGGGGAAAGGGAGAGCTGCCTCCACTCATTATTTATGCATAAATACAAAAGGCAGCGATCTGTTTGATTGGCCAAGGGGGTGGGTGGAGGAGGGGAGAGCTTTCCCGACAACTGACTTGTGTATTTATCACGGCGTGGCCAAAATAATTCCTGACATTGCCTGACGGATACTTTATACTCCCATCCAGCCAGCAAAAATCAAATCACATTTCGTTTGAAAATTCTCATTTGTTTGCTTTCAATTCGGTTCGTTTCTGTTTGGAATTTGCGTTGCGTTCGTTGTTTGTTTTCTCTCTTTAATTGTTTGGTTTTTACAAGTTGATTAATTTTTGGTTTGAGTAAGGAACAATTTGTTAACCAAGTGTAATAATAATAACGGAATTGTTGACAGGTTCTTCGGGAAAATCTTCAAGTGGTCGAAGAAGTCGTAGGAGGAGGATCTTTGGGTGGAGGGGGCCACGCGGTGGTTCCCTTAGCCCCCAGGGCGGCAGCATGGCGTCCTACAACGGCGTGCTCAAGGATTACAGTCACAGCAGTTTGAACGAGGCTTTCAAATCCCAGAACAATGTCAACTTTAAGTTAATTAAAACAGGTGAGCAAAGCCATAAGCCAAAGTCAAAGCCAATCTATTTGGTGTGCTATGTACTATATATATATATGTGTAAGTCGGATCCAATTCATATCACCGCCATATCCACACGGGACTACACTACACATGTCGTGTTTGCCGTGTGCCACCTTTCAGCAGCACCTGACACGCTCACCAGGTGGCCCAAAGTGACAAACATGCGGGATTGGGTTTCACCATGGTTGGGGTAACAGAAAAACAAAAAACGAAAGGAAAACCAATTTATGTGGCAGCATTTTATTTGATAAGTTTCTGTTTGTCGCTTTTATGGCTTATTGATTTCGATTGTCGATTGTCTTTGTCGGGTCGTCAGATTGAGACATAAATCTGTGTTCGCTGTAGATGCCTCCTCTTCAGCCTCGTAAATTCCTCCGTATCCTATGAAACTACGAGTATGTTTACCCAACAAACAATCTCCTAACACACAGCTGTAACTTTTCGACATAACTTTGACTTTGAATTACGGCGCTGTCACTGAAAGTTGTCCCAGCGGATGGCACCTTTGGCACTTGCTTGCTGGCATACAGCCGAGTTTTCCACTAGTTTTTCGTAGCCTCTAAAGTTTTTAATAACATTTTTGCTGTGAACTGCATATGGAATCAGAGAAGCTACATAACTAAAAAGAACTAAAAAAAAGAGTATTGATTAAATTAAAGTTGTACGAGAAAGTTTCGAGTTTCAACACATTTGACAACCTGTTGCTGGGAAACACTAAAAACGCGTATCTGGCAGGCCATAAAACGCTTTAGCCATAAACTGGCAGGTTAAGAGGCTAAAAGCCAAGTCAGAGCCAAACATCCATATTCATATATGCCGGAATAATCGTAAATATGATGGATTATCCAACAGGCATTCAGTCCTTTTAAAGAGTCCTGGCTTTTTCCGTTTTACAGCAGACATAAACATGGAAGTGTTTTCCCAGAGAAAACAATGTAAGCGCAATGTGAATGTCTTACTTAAATTGTAGGAGGAACTTCCCTTCTCATACTAAATAAGAAAGTTCTTAAGTCATTTAATATTTAAGGTATAAAGTTCCCTAGTTTTGCTTGAAATTTATCCCAGTGTAGCCTTGAGTTATGAGATGAGAAAGAGGGAAAAAAGCACAAAGACTTTAGCCGGAAGTTCCCTGGCATATCCGTTTCCGGTGCTTTTATTGTGTCTAATGCAGTTTTGTGGCCCGTCATAAAGCGTGACTGCCTTTTAGTTGGTCTTAACCCAAGTACTCATTCAATTTAATTCAATTACAGTATCCGATTTCTCCGAAACACTCTCCCGTCTGTACGAGGAACACGCAACTGCCCTCCAAGTTGCGGTCTCCAATTATCGCAAGAAGAATGCCGAATTACGCAAAGAGAGGTAAGTAACTCCCTCTCCCTCACCCTCACCCTTCTGCAAACAATAAAAAACCAATTTTCCAACCAAATTGATGCCAAAAAAAAACGAACTAAAAACCTTGTGTGTGTGGCGTGCAGACCCGCCTGCCACTTGGCCATCTTTCAGGCATGGGAAACATTCCTGCAGGAGGTCGAAACCGATTCACAGGCCTGCAATGACGTGGCCAGCGTCCTTTCCCGCCAGGTGAGTCTTCTTGATAACCCCTTTCATCACCAAAAAGTTGCCGAAACTCGAAATGGGTTAATGGCAATATCGTGTCGCTTTAAATATTCAGTTGCCTTCCCTGGAAATAGACTTCGAAATGGTCATGCCAGGCATTCATTGCCCTGAAAAGAATTTTGTAATTAAATTAATGCAGGAATTATCCAGGCAAAGGAATGCTTTTTATTCATCTGCAAATTCTTCTTTTTTTTTTTAACAATAGCCAGATTTCTATTAATAATAATATATGATAATCTTATTTGTGCCAGTTACCGCATCGACCGGCTGCGTGTAAACCACATGTGTGTATGGCCTTGAGGTCGCATAAATACCAAAAAAAAGAAACAAAAAAATTCCCAATTTGCATTATAAAAGGCAGACTCTAATTATGGTTAATTAGTGGGGGCGTGGCACTGCGGGGCTTTGGGAAATGACATGTGTTTTTCGAGTGCCGAATATTGTTGTTTTGCTGCCGCGTTTGTTTTCCTTTTTTTCCCCTGTCTGGTTTACACATTTAATTTTCATTTTTCATGATGATTTGCCCTTTTTTTGTGGGCCTTCAATATACGTTATACATAATTTATTTACAACCCCACGAACTTCAGGTGTCGCGACCAATGCTGGATAAATCCTTTCATCGCAAAGTTCAAAGCCGTAAAATATTCACACACAGGGAGTCTTTTGAGACTATTATCGCAAAGACTGAAGAGAAGCTGTCAAAGGTGAGTTTAATTAGTAAAAAGCCTTGCTTATTATGCCTAAGGAAATCCCAAAAGTAATCAAAACTGAACAAGAACTTTAATTTCGCTTAAAGTTCTGTTCGAGCTGAACATATGGGTTGGTCAGAATACGCATACGCAGTGTGGGCCATTTCAATTGCCCATTGTGCGTGTGAGTGTGTGGCCATTTACCCTTTTTTGTTGTGTGTGCGTGTGAATACCCATAAATTGGGCAGCCCAAACCCCTTTTTGACTCGTTTCATCCATTTATTGGTTGACAGTGCCGTGTGGACTACAAGCAGTGCCACCTGGCCCACCGACAGAATCCCAGCCAGCACTCGCTCACCGAATACATCGACGCCCACAATGCGTACGTGCAGCAGCTGCATGCCACCAATGGTATGCTGGAGGCCTACCACACCGATACCCTGCCCCAGCAGATGCAGGAACTGGAGGAGATCCACAATGACCTGGTCGCCATTGTGTCCGACTCGCTGATGCAGGGCGCCGAAGTAATTGCCGGCAAGGTGAGTGCCCCACCGTGTTAACTGATTTATCACTGCAGCAGGTGGTTTTATATTTGTATACGAGTATGTGTATGTGTATATGTAAGTGTATGTAAGGTGTAGAGTGTGAGTAGAGTTGGTGGGCAGCAGTGGCGCCTGGAATTCGAGTTAATTTTTTGCAGCACCTTTTGTTTCCTGGAAAATAATTTGTACACGATTATAATAATTGCCCGGAGTAGCAATTTGCTGTGGTAATTTGCCTAATGCCTGTCCGGGTCCTGCCTAATGATGGCGACACTTTTTACCTCCCCCAGAGTTTATGGTGAATGCAAAAAATAATATACCTATAGGGTGGGCTGAGAACACATTTTCATATAATAGCCATGTCTACCTTTGTGCGATAGACTTTATGTTCCAGATAATGGTTTAAAAAAGAAATCAATTTAAAAGTAAATCAAAGAGCTTCAAATATTAAAAGTTAACCAAAAACAGAAAACATTTTATGAAAGGAAAGTTAATTTATAATCTAAATCAAGACACATAAATATTTCCCATATTCCCTTAAGGCCAACGACCAATCCAAGCGGTACAACAGCCTGACCAACCAGTGCAGCGCGGTCTCACCTCAACAGGATCTGGTGAACTTTGTACGCCTGTTGGCCCAACCATCGCAGGCCCAGAAGATACCCAGACGGGTCTTTGCATCGCCCCAAGTAGAAGCCGGCGAAGAGGCGGGCGACCACAATGTGAGTAGTGCAGTGGGCAGAACACCTGTCCGGCGGGTTAAAATGATTGTTTTTGTGGGTGGTGGTATATGTGGTATATGTCCTTTACAGGAGATGACGCCCTGCCTGCGGAACGAACTGGTCTTCGACCGGCACTCCACACTGTCACAACGCTCCGCGTTGGAGTCGCTGAAGCGAGAGGCCATCGAATTGGAATTGCAAATACGTCAACTGCAGGTGAGATGAATTTACCACAAAGATTAAATTCAGTTATATGTTGGAGGATTTTAATATTGATAAAATTGAAAATATCTTTTAAAAATCGGAAATAAGAGAAAATCAAATGAGTAAAATGTTTTTTTTTTATTTTTATTTTAAAAAGATTTCCCCAAATCTATGGCTTATCTTTGTCCAGCAGCCTTTTGATTATTCCTTATCTATCGATTGTTGTGATCCAAAGGGGATCCGGTAGAACTTGGCTTTTCTTTGTTGTCTAGATGGTATACAGTGCAGATCTGAAACAGGCTCATCACAGCCTCAAAGATTGCTATAATCCTGCATCCTTTTTCCAAATCGAAACAGACAGAACAGGAAGCTAGGGATGTTTTTGAATCTCCGCTTGACATTCACCCAGCGGTTTCTATGCCAAGTTCTAAAGTGAAAGTTTTCAAAAAATAACATTTTCAAACGATTTATAATAGACTACTAAAGATGTCTTAGGAAAATGTCTTTTAAAGTTTCTAACTAGCCTACTTCTCTGCCAAATATTTACATAGAAAAGAAGTTTTCACCATATACTCCTAATAATTCTTCCTTATTCTTACCTTTTATTGCATATTTTCTTTCCTCTCCAGGACTCTATTGAGGCTTTGAACCGAACACAGACCCGTGGGATCGAGGGTCAGCTGTATAACAAGGTCAACGAGCTGCAGGAGGATTTGTCTATGAAGAAGTTTGACCTGCGGGCCAAGCAGATCCATTTGGCGGCCATAAGAGCTCAGGTGAGTTTTGAAATTTAAGATGGTGAAAAGCTGAAAGCTTAGCGGAAAACTGAACCCAATCAAAAAGCTGGAAAATCGAAGAAAGTCACCCATCTAGAACTTAAGTTTTGTGCCAGGGAAAAGCTTTTCCCTTAGCTTTTCACGGACCTGTTGCTAGCAGCTTTTCCGTTTTTAGGGAGAAGGGTAGCTTTTCATGGCCGAGATCTAATGAGTTCCATTAGGCGGGGTTTTGGTACCGACACGCCCCCCGTTTGCACGCTTGAAAGTACAGATGAACTGGCGTTCGTATGTAGGTCAAACAGCTGATTGCCAACTGCGCATGTGACCCAAGCGTTTTGCCATCTCACTCTCAGACTTGCTCCCGCTCTCATTTTTGGGCCATGGAAAGCCGCCAGCATAAGCCAACAGCCAGCAGCCAACTGTGGGTTAGGTTCGTCCTTCGCCTTTCGCTTAGTCCTGCGGTAGATTAGCTTGTGCGTGGTCAGTGCGGCAGTATGGCTTGATTTTCCCAGAATTTCCCAGTTGCGTATCCTCTCGGTGTTTTTGATTAATAAAGGGCTTAATTAGAAGTCCACCTATGTGAAACTGTGTGTGATTTACTTTGTTTTCTGGTGAAACAAACAATTTATGGTCCGTGTGTGTGGGTTTGTTTGGGAAAAACCTGCAGGCGTTTTGACTGTAACCTCAACCTCGGAGCCTCCAAAGTGAATCAGCTGTTGCCCGAACCAGGCTCGGAAAAGCCAAAGTGTGTGTGTGTGTGTAGGAGAGAGAGAGAGAGAGCTCGGAAAATTGCATGCTAAGCGTTGCCAGACATTTTCCCAACCAGTTTCCCCGATGTCGCTGTTTATAAAAGCAGCGTGCAACGGTCGCTCCAAGTCAGTCACGTGCTTGCATTCCGACGTATACGTATCGCGGCTCGCCAGCTCCGTTCTTGGGTGATCCGTTCGACAAATTAGCCGTAGCCGTAGTGCCGTAGTAGCCGTAGTTCCGTAGCCGTATCCGTATCCGTAGCCGTGTAGCCGTGGCCGTAGCCGTATCCGTAAAAGCGCCGCCGTTCGTCGTTTTTCGTCGCGCCTGAGGTGTGATTGGCTGCCAATCGCGCAATTGGAGGGGCTACCTTTGAAACCACGCAAACGAAACACAAACCTTTTGAAAACAATAATAAAATATTCAATAAATAAATATATATATATATTCCCAAGAAAAATAAAAACAGACACCATTCATATATTGTCCTAATATATATGCATAATTTTAGAGCGCAGTTCAGGGCAGGCTTTTCTAGGCGAGTTGTTCTCTATTTTGATAGCCAGAAACACACACAAGATATTGAATTGAATTGAGTTCAGCGCGTAAGTAACCAAACTCAAATGATGATCTGAAACTAGTAATGCAACCAACTAGTCGACAGTCCATGTAAAATAACTTTAATAGCTTTATTAACCAATCACGCATACGCACCGTGCGCCAAAACTCTTAAAATTTGAATTTAACAAAGATCGATCAATCAATGTAGCACTGCCAGAATTTCTTCGAATCTCTTTTGCCTGCTTTTCTAATCAACATTTAACTTAGCCAAGTAGTCGAAATTCGTGTGGCCTAAGATCACAAAAATCAGAAAGTTTGTGCAACTGACTAGCCAACTCGTATTGTACTGTGTAAATAACCAAATACAAATATCTTTGCTAATCTAGATGTAGTTTAAACATATATCTTTTACTCAGTAATTGCAACAACAACTATGTAAAAACTCTATCTAGAGCTAGAGGCTCGGCTCGCTTTGCATTTTGTAATAATCGTGACCTTTGTGCCTGCACCACAAACACCCGAATGTGGGTGCAGTCGCAATAGCACCCACTTACACGTACTTGTAACCACCAAGCAACTTACCAACCAACCAACCAACCAACCAACCACCACCACCCACAACACATACTACGCATCCGTATCCGTATCCGCATCTGAATTTGAATCTGAATCCGCCTCCAATGTCGCGAGGAGTGGAAACCCGTTTGTGAACGGCCATCACTTGAGAAAAAAAAACATAGACTAGCGAACTCGGCGACACCTCGAAATTGTTTAAACCAAAAAATAAAAAAAAAAAGCAAGAAAAAAGAAAAACACTTTGCGTAAAAAAATAGCAAGTAGCTGAAAGCCACACGCACACGTACACCCCCTTACATTATATCTAATAAATAAATATATATATATAAATTAAAAATATATATATCTGCCCATCATGCGCGTTATCGTTCTGAAAAAGAATCGGCCTAACAAACGCGGCACGCCCACGGCATCAGCGGCGACCTCCTCCTCGCGAGAACCGCCCAAAAAATCGCCGTACGCAAAAGTAAGAATTTTAAACTCGATACCCAGCTCAATATTTGGTTTCAATTTTTCACCGATGAAATACTCGTTATCCCGATAACGAGCGTTTCGGCCTTTGTTTCCTGTTCAATTTGCCAGTGCAATCAATTTTTGAGATATATAAATATATTTACCCTTCTATATATACTATATACTATATCTATATATATTTTCCATGATTTTTCGACATGTGCAAATGTGCAAGTTATCGCGCGGCGCGTTTGTATATTTTTCATGATTTCGAATGCAAATGCAATTACTTAGCCATAATAACAGCATGTTCAAGTAGCAATCTCTGCATATTTACCTCAAAAATTGGTTGTAGTGGCCAGGCATGCTCTTATATTATACTATATTACTAAGCTAAAAACATTTTAGATTGCCAGCTTATCAACTTTTATAACATAGCCTTGATCTAGAAATATAAAAATGGCATTCATAGTGTGCTTTGTTGTATTTTCTTCGCTTTTTAAATTTAGTAATGCAAGTATCTTCAAAATAATATAAGTTTGACCTTGATGTGTAATATAAATATGGGGTATAATGAAATCTTCTTGTAATTCTTATGCTTCCTCGCTTTGTGTGAAAAGCACTTCCGTTTCCTGAACATCGCGGCGAGGTTTTTCCTGTAATTTCAGAACTAACGAGGCAACCACTGCGCAGAAATAGATTTCAAAAACTAGAAAGGGGTTTCATTTTTAATAATTAAATACCACGTAATAATATTTTTTATACTCACAAATTGAAACAGTGCGAAAGAACATTTTCATCAGGTCGCCATCTTCCAAGATGTCAACGAATGAGCTGATCAAAGTGGTTGTAACAGTAACGCAAATCCAAAGGATTAAACAGGATATGTTGCCCTATAAGTGATAAGAGTTAGTCTAGATAGCTTTACATTCTCCTATGAAAACCTACCCATTCAGCACCTACAATAAGCAGCAAAGATCTAAAGACAGTCACTGAGCTGATAGCTCTCCTAAAATAGAGATTGGATTCAAAAATCGGCATCACGGTTATAGGTCCCATCATATCTCTGTCTGGCTCCCTAGTGACAAATAACAAATCTGGCTGCTCTGTGGTTTGAATAGGATTCACATTCATATCTGTCATGTAGAGGCTGCACATTTGCAGGATATTGGCCAAGGCCTCGAAAACGGCTATAAACTTGCAGCCTGTTTTTAGGCTGAAAAAATAAAAGCAGCTATTTAGTCCCTTTATTTCATGGATATTTTGATTAAGTCGCGTCCAGCCATTCGGTGATTCCAGCAAATTTCGAATAATCGACATTCTCACACTGTTTTTCCAATAGATTACTAAAGCTAATGCCGATGAACATTTAGCTGCCAGCCTACTACTACTACTACTACGACTACTGCTAATGAACTTTTCATCGACAGGCTCTGATTGAGTTTTTCGGAGGGCTATACTTCCGGAATTGGCCATTCGGAGTTAAGTGCACAAGAAAATCCAATTTGATTTATATGCTGCGCCATGGAAAGCCCGAAAATGGAGGAAAATCTAAAACAATTCAATTTTCCAAGTGTGGCAGGCAGAAAGAAAAAATCAAACCAAAAACAAAAAAAAATAAAAAGAAATCGCTTCCTTCCTGTTCCGCCAAACCCTCCGGTACTTGTTCAACTTGTTCCGCCCGATTCGATGGCACAATCAGTTGCCCATAAGCGAAATTCCTTTACTGATTTCCTTTTAAAAGCATTTTTCGAATTGTCTTGACTGCGAAGGAGCCACTTGAGCCAGCCCACTTGCTGCCCTTCGGCTCCTCATCGGTTCCTCCTTGGCTCCTCCTTTTCGCTACTCATTTCACTTTTATTTCGGCTTCCAAAAAAACAAAATGAAAAGCCTTGGGCCACATCGTGTTTCCCATTTATTTATTATTGTTGTTGCAATGACAACTTTGCTCTGTGGAAAATATATATACCTCTCTCCCGCTGCCAGCCAATATGCTGGGAATTATTTCATTTCGATTGAGAGACTCGAAAACTCATTCAATTAATTAATCTCATGAAATGGAATTATTTTTACCGATTTAAAATGCACACAAAAAAAGGGGATGCCGAGCCACCTGCAAAGGCGATTAATTTCGCAAAGGCCTTCGAGGAGATCATGCCCGTCTCTCGTTATGGGATTAAGGATTCGAGAGTCCTGAGGATTTATTGTTGAGAATGTCGTTTGGCGCCAATGTGAAGGTCAAAAGCTGTGCTCCTAAAGGGTTAATTTTAAATTTATGGCCCTGCCCTTCTTACTTATTCCAGTCGGAATCCTTGCCCAGGGACCTAGGCCAAATCCGTAGGCCAATCGTGAGGGGAAAGGCAACAAATTTGCACGTTAACCGCAACCAAAAGCAACAATGGCTGCCTCAATTTATGTGTGTGTGTGTGTGTGTGTGTGGGAGTATCTCTGTGTGATGTGCTGCGTGTGTGGGTGACACAGTGATATTTCTCTCTGTGGGTCCTGACACGTTATCTGGGCAACAACTCTCGTGCCGGAAAGGCCCGTGTTGTTGGTTCCTACTTTATTTTATTGCTTTAATAAATATGAAATGCGCTCAGTTTTTCTCTGGTTTGTTTTTGTTTTTTTTTGTCTTTTTGCCAAACATTCCTGACATTCGGCATAGTTTTTCCCTTTTTCCGCGCCCCTCGAGTGCCTTCAATTAGTTGGCCCCAAATTGGGTTCTTCTTTATGACAATCCTCTTAATCTTAATCACCCCGACTTGATGGCCACAAGGAATTGATGCCTTCTGCTGCTCGCTGAATAGGAATATTTATACACGAATACGCCTCTGAATATCTTCGGGTTCTATGGCTATGCCAGCGTAATTTGCTCGGGCATAAATTTTAATTAATCATAAAAAAAAGAAAGAAATGCTGGCATAAAAATGCCAACAGGTTCTGGGAAGCGGTTTCTCTTCTCTTTCTCTTTTTTCTCTGCTCAGTTCTTGCCTGGCTTCTCAATTCCCCTTAGCCTAGGATATTCCATCCAGGAATTCATATTCATGTTTAATAATAAATCACAAGATGCCGCAGCATTCGCGAGGAGTTGGAGCTGCCGGAGGGCAAATGCGGTTGCATCCTTGGAATCCGCCCAGCACAGCTCAGCAAGAACGAGAAGAAAAAAAAAACTGAAACACAGGGAAAATCGTCAGCCGGGGAAAGTCAAATGCCAAAAGGAAGAAGCCCCAGTAAAATGGCGCTGGAATAAAAGGATTTGCGGCTGCTAAAGGCAAATTTAATTAAAGACATCACACACACCCATACCCACACATACACACAATGGCGCTGAATCAGGAGTAAATCCTTGCTTCAGCCCTTTTAATTGCCCACTACCTGTTCCTGTTCAGCGGCCACCGAAAAAGGACGCGGCTAAAAGTGAAAAGCGAACCATGAACAATGGGAATTCATTTGGCGCATTTTGGTATCAATTAACCGACCGCCCATTCATCATCAGAATCGTATCTAACGGATGTATGCTTCAACTAATTTAGTGAATGAACACGACGCGAAAATGTTTTCCCAGTTTTGCATTTCACGCTGAAGGTTCTCGCTGATAAATAGTTAAATGACAGGGTCACAGATACAAAATTTAGTTACTCGACTATGAGATACTTTCTTTTAATAGGGGAAGTTTACCTTAATAAATACTACGAAAAATCTTGAACGAATTTGAATACTTAAAGTATCCAAAATATCTTATAAAAATACTTTTTAAAAGTAACTTATTCTGAACACAGATTTCTACTGTTTTTCTCATAGGCTAGAACACATCCTTGTTCCTTACCTTATGTCCTTTCCCTAGCCTGTAAATGTATATGGATAAATTTTACTGTTGGCCAAGTGGGAGTGCCTTTGGGGTCGTTGATGTCCAAAATAGACAGACACTTGGACAGGCAGACAGATTTTTGGCTGTTTTGGCGCTCTGGAGATTTCACATTTCGTTGACGCACGAATGACACAAAAAACAGTTTTTCAGTTCCGATTCCTGGCACTCGCCATTGAAATCTAGGATATTTGCCTTGCATGTAGGTGTGTGTGTGTGTGTGTGTGTCTGTATGTGCATTCATTAAAATTTCATTTGAAAATCAGCAGAAATGCTGCTGTAATCTCGTCTAGTCATTTGTTTTCCCAGCCACGAGAACTTGCCATTGTATTCCCCTTGGTTCGCTGCTCCTTCTCCTTCTGCTGCTTCTCTTTGGATTTCGGGGAAATATTCAACTGTCAGCAGGAGCCAAGTTGATGGAAATCTGTGAAATTGGTAGAAAAAGTGCAAGGACAGGCAAATCGTAAGTTGATATGCTTGTGTCTTGAATATTTTATTGCTGCAAAGATAAATCTGGTCCAGCACTGAATGAATGTGCCGAGTTTAGCAGTAAGCGGCAAACTAAGTTTCTTTCACTGGGAAAGCGAGCATTATTTGTAAATTAAATATTAGTAAGGACATGAGTTCAGGCCATAACAAGCTAGATTGGGTTTAAGTTTGGTTCGTTGGGTTTTTAAAATATCATAACTTATTTAGATTGGTAAATGCCTAAATAGATAAACTCAAAGGTGATTTTATTTCCTTGAATTTGAATAGAGAATGCTTCTTACAGGCCCGTAAAAGGTGTTTAAAGTTAATATTCAAGGTGATGAATATGAGATATAATTATCTCTTTGAAGCTTGAAACTTTTAGCTCAAAAAAAAACTTAGTTTAGAAAGTAAAAAGTGCATTCTCTACAAAATTAACTTCTTTAAATCTTGAACCGAACTAAAATTTTATTGAAATCCCAACTAGATGACAGTTGGCTTCTCCCTTATTAATTTTACTAGAAAATTGTTTGATCTCTCTCTCCCACTCTCTCTCTCTGCCCTTGTATCGTATCGAATAGCATTTTTTATTTCTCCCCCGACGATGTTTGTGGGAATTTACGATTGCGCCAAAAAGTATGCCATGCCAATAAAGTCCGCTCTTTATGGAGGGTGCAAAAAAGCGTCCAGCGAAGGATTCCGGTTGAAAAGCAGAAAGAACCTAATGGTTTTAAAATGCGCTCACCCACTAATGCGGAGAACCCTTCAGACTCTCATCCCATTCCCGCTCCTCCGAAATATAAAACTGACGGCTGTTTATCTGACATTCATAGTTTATGCTCCATGTTCTGCTCACCTTTCTCAACAAGATAAACGCAGTCGAATTTCCCTGGGAAAATGGGATAAAAGAAAATGAGGGAAAATATGGAGGGGAAAAAGAGGAGCAACGGGAATCCTCGAACTGGAGGAGAAGCAATGATAAAACTAGTAAAGCATACAACATTGTTTGACTTTGTGGATTTGGTGAAGCATGGAGCAATTCCACTCCAGCTCGCCTCCACTGGTAGCCACAGTCACTGCCACTGCCACAGTGCCACCCACTAACTTGCCACCAAGCGCCTCAAAGCATTTTTGGCAGTTAACCCGTAAAGATGATAAATGCGAATGTCTTTGCCGTTTGAGTTTGAGTTGTTGCAGTGCCTACTCAAGGAATTTATGGGGCCACCGAGAGTTGGGCATTGCAAACAAAACGAGAAGGAAAACAATCAAAGAAAATGGAAAAAGAAAGAGGCGAGGCCAAGCTGCTTGAGTTTTCTTCAACTTGGGAGATTGACACGGCCAGCTGGCCGAGTGCCATCTCCGCTGCATCCTCCTGGTTACTTTTCCTGGCTCAAACAGAAAGTCACATTAATCAACACTTAAACGTTTAATTGCCGTACATTAATCTTGAGGTTAAGCCGCCTCCGTTTTCCTCCAACTGTCAATTTTGGTCATTTGCTCGATGTGTTGGTGTGGCTCTGTGTGGGTGTGTTCTTGTGGCCTTTTTCCGTCTGCTCCGGCATTAATTGTGTCATTTGGCAATTAACTTTCCCGACCCCGAGAAAATATCTCGGTGTGACAAATTTTGGGGCTCGCCGCTTGTAAATATTGATGAGCCGCGCCGCGAGGTGGCATTGGTGGCACCATGGTGGCAAATCTGTTCCGAAAAGCCCGTGCAGGCCAAAACAGTTGATGGACCGTTGCCAAAATTATGTTCGAGCTTATGCCGCTGGCTTGCAGCTGTCGCAGTTTTGATTGAAATATGAGCCGGGAACTGCCAGGCGATGTGACCTCACTGGGAGAATGCGGGGGTGGGCTTTTGCTGGGGTCGGGAGACCAAAGTCCTGGCTTTCGTGACGAGTTAATTAATTTTCACGTTGACATTTCACTCGGCTGTATATATTTAATGAGCGGGCTTCGGTTACGGCTGCGGTTTCACTCACTGCCTACCGCCTACACTCTCTCTATTTATCTGAATCAACTCGTGTATATATTTTCCGGACTGGCGAATAATAAATAAATATTGTGGCGAAATGCTGATACTAAGATCTTGATAGGTGTCTAAATAAATTGAATTAATTCATTTCGAATGCGGCTTATAGTTAGACCAATAAAATTGTTATTTATTTGTCTTTATTTGACATTTCTTTCTTTCACACCAAAAAATACGAAATGAAAATTTTAAACTGCCAATTATTTTGGTCTTTTGATAGAAATTTTTGTCATCAATTAAATAATTTATTCAGAAATTTTCAACTAAGTGAAAAATATGTGTCTGAATATAAATACATTTTAAAAATAATATATATTTTAGCCACTAGTTTGCCACTTTTGATATTAATTAAAGAATTTACTAAATACCTTTCAGGTCAATTTAAAACGAAAAGCATTTCGGGCTTGCCCTAATTTTTAGACTAATTTATGCTTAAAGTTTTCCAAGCCCCTGCTTACCAAGCCCCATCACCATACTTATCCGCATCAACATATAATTTCCGACTTTTCTCGACCAAAAAAATGAAGAAGAAAGAAAGTTGATCCTTAGAGCCAAATAGATGTCTAAATAAATTCCATAATTTCATTTGGCCGTTGCATATTCAATAAGCAAAACTTTGGCCGCAAGGAAAATAAAATAATAACGTTTACCAGCCGCATAATCTATATCCATCTCTTTTTCATACTTCACCATTGCTCTCTCTTTCTGCAGTGCAAGTGGAAGTGTGTATGTGTGTAGTTGTGAGTGTGTATTTGCCTTTTGCGAGTTGCATTTCGCCTTCAAAAGGAAAAGTTTTGCACTATTTGCTTGGCACTTGTCTTTTATTTTGCCTTACACTTACACTCGTTTTTCCTTTCCAACTGCCATTTTCCTTACATTCCCTTTTCCTTTTTTTTTTTTTTTTTTTTTTATTTTTCCGCTTTTTCAATTTTTATTTATGCAAATAAGTTTCGCCAGGCATTGTTGCCCCGCCGCTGCTTGTTATCGCATAAGGATGTTGTTACAAGTTTACTACTCATTCCCTCCTTCTGGAACGCCTTTGTCGTTGTCTATATAGCCCTGTGTACATATATTTTTCTTTTTATTTTCACTGTATTTTCTTTTCGGCCAGGCCAACAACATGTAGATGTTGGCCACGGCTGGCCGCCCACGACAAGTGTTAGGAGTGTCAGTAAAAATAGTTGAATAATGGCAAATGCCATGGTAAGAGGCAATGGCAGTGGCAAAGGCAAATGCAAAGGCAAAGGCACAGTCAAAGACACCAGAAGTGATACTGTCTGCTCTTCGTTGTCGAAAGTTTAATTATCACTGTGTTTTCCCTACTCTCTGTGTGTGTGTGGGTGTCATGCGAGTTTTAGTTTCGGTTGTTTGAATTTTCAACTTTTCACTCCCTGTTTTTTCTCGTCTTTCGTTTCTGACTGGCATTTCTGTGGTCTGAACTGCGAACTTTGTGCATTTAAACTTTTTTCCCCTGCCGTCTGGTATTTTTTTCTCCTTTTTTTGCTGATTTTGTAGTAGTAGTGGTAGTCCATTTTTGTGGTCAATGGCCATTGCATACTTTGAGGCAAATTCGAAGAAATCACGCATACGCCATGTGCTCGGCAATTAACTCGAGCGCCTGAGCATTTTGTAATGCTCCTGCCTTCGTCAGCCAGCCAGGCAGTCATGCCGAAAAATTTCCATATTCATATGCACACACACTCACGCATTTTATCGTAGTTGCAATTTTTTCAACTTTTTTTTTTTTTTTTTTTGGCCAACCCCACACAGCCTCATGCATTTTTATTACTGCTGTCGTTAGTGCTTTGCATATATTATTAGGAGGCGGTTGTGCAGCTGCAAAATGTGTCCTATGCCCTGCTTCCTGCGTCCTGCCGCCTGTGTCCCTGTTTCGGTTGCACCCGCACATTCCCCCATCAGGAGCAGCGTGTGCCGCACTCATTTGCAGCGTTTGAAATATGCCAAGGAGCTGCCACAAATTTGTGTGCCGAGAAATCAATGAATAGCTGCACAGCGAAAAAGGCAAAACTAAAAGATTGCTACTAAATTGCATTTTTATTAATATTTATTTATTATTATTTATTTAGTAAGCATTTTAAACGCTTTTTAAAGGGTAAAAATTATTGCGTACCAAGAGCAAAAGTCAATTTATTTTGTTTTGATTTTTTATTGTTATAAAATAATTGGTTTTAAATATTTTGTTAAAGAAGAAAGCAATATGAAACATAAAATAAAGTAAATAAAATCATGGAATTTAAAACGCTTTAGGGCCTGTCGACGAATAACATTTTCCTAGTAAAGTTATAAATATTTAAGCTAAAAATATTTACTTTTCCCAGCATAACAGATTGTAATTTTTGTTTATTGTTTTCTGAGTCAACACAAAAAACTTTCCCTTGCAAGCATAGAACTTCAAAGCTAACAAAATACAGTTTTCGTTGGTCTGAGGGATACGTTTTTCTATTCCTTAATAATTTTATACGTTCCTTATAAAGAAATACCAGTTTTTTCCAAGTGCTGGGAATGAGTTTTCCCCTAACGAAGAGCTGCTATTACTCCCATTTCACTACCTCTCAGTTTGAAGTACTTTATAGAGCAGGCACTTCATTACACAACCCCCATCAGCATTTCTCAGGACTCGCAGGACTCCACTGCTGGCTGCACTCCTTTAGGTGAATGGTAAACGATGCCACGTGATGTGCATAGACAAGCGGATTTTGCATTGATCGTGGCTGCAAATGAAAAACGCGACAGCCAATTCAGTGACACCATCAATTTGCGATAAATCAATGGGTTGCGGGTTGGCAAAAGTGGGTGGTGGGTGGTCTCTGCGCTAGTATGCATGTCATTTAATCTCTGCTTTTCGCTGACATCGTGACAACTTGATTGCGAATCTCCTCTTGATTGTTCGATGCAATTCGATTCGCTTGACTTGGCTACTTCGCAGTACCTTCACTCTACTGCCACTGCGTGGCTTGACTTGGCCAAAAAAGGAGAACGTTTGTGGAACGTTTCTAGGCACCAATTAAAGCCTCGTTTTCGGGCGGGAATAAAACTTTCGAGTTTTCCAAGTGCCCGGCACTCGGCACTAGAGTCTCATTTGAAATCCCATTTTACAGCTCCTATCGCACATGAAAATATGCTGGAAATACAATAAATGAGGCGTGTAGGTACCATAGCCAGAGTGCGAGTAAGTGCAACTAGTACAAGGCCGAAAGTTTTCCCACAAAGCGCAGAACGTGGCGTTTTCTTTTATACATTTGGTTCAGGTACATATATATATATATATATAGTATAGTTTTGGTATGGTATAGCACTTTCAATGGCTGTTCGGAAATGTGCGAGTGTGGGTGTGTGTGTGTGT